TATGGAATTAATGGTTACAGTGTGGAGGAGGAGGAGGAGGAGGAGGAGTTTCTCCAAGGAGGCTGAGGAGCTGCTGGTGCTGGTGGTGGTGGTGGGTGGTGGCAGCAGGGAGACCACTGTGGTAGAGGAGGGGAGGATCCTGGGAGGAGGGAGGAGGGAGGGAGGGAGAGGGGGAGGGATGCTGGTGGTGCCGCTGATATTCATGAAGGCAAGCCAAGTGCTCGCTCACTCTCTCTCTCTCTCTCTCTCTCTCTCTCTCCCCCCTCTCTGTGGTGACACACAGCTCGTCTGCAGAGACAGAAGGAGCAGGACAGGAACAGGACGAGCGAGGATGGAGCCCAGTGAACGACGGCCCAGCCCATCTGAGCAGTGAGGAGCCAAGGTGAGTGTGTTTTCATCCCTACATGCTAGCGCCTGTGTGTGTGTGTGTGTGAGTGTGTGTGTGTGTCATCTCGTACCAATGCGTCTGCAGACGAACAGGACGGCAGTCATTTAAACAGCAGAATATGATATTATTATTATTATTATTATTTTTTTGGTGTGTGAAGAGATAAATCGTCTGCAAACGTTGCAGGATTTCTGAGTCTCTTCTTCTGTGGTGGAGGTGATGCTGGGGCAGCCGTGGGGGGAGGAGAGGTGGGGGTCGTCTTTGTGTGCATACTGTAAATATGCTCTAAGAGCTCACAGCCATCACAGAAATATATATATATATATATGTCACTGTGTCAGTCTCCTGTGGCCGACGTTGTTTACCTCAGTGTGTCTCCACACACTCCAGTCCAGGTCCAGGTCCAGGTCCAGGTCCAGGTCCAGGTCCAGGCAGCTGAAACCTTCTGTCTTCCCTGGTGGCCCACCACCAGACTACAGCTCTTCAAACTCCCTCTGAAATACATGTGTAGCATTAGCAAGGTTAGCCTAGCCTAGCAAGCAGCAACGCCTGTTTACACATCTGCCTTACATGGAGAAGGTTCTGGGTTCGAGCATCATAAGAACCACATACCTGGTGCCTCCAGGGGGCAGCCTGCTGCAGCAGATCTTACTACACAAGAATGTCCACAGTGTGGGATCCAGTTGTGGCCCAGATCTGACCAACAGCTCCGTGTCATTGGTCCACACTAAAACAACAAACACCTAAAGACCAAGTCTGGGAACGTAACGTAACAATGAAAGGTACGGACACACCAGTGATGCCGTCACTGTCCTAGGACAAAGGTGTGCCATGGTTTGATTGGTCTCTGGTTATTACCACAGGTCACCTGATTACGGTGTGTACAGCCAGGTGCCTAAAGTACTGGTTCTGGCCCGATCGTGTCCACCACAGACAGAGGAAGTTGATGATTTCAGTCACTTCCTGCCTGAGGTAACGTTTCGATTCTTTTCCTTTTCCTTCAAGGTTTTCCAGAGCAGAACGGAGTCGCCGACGTCGGGTCAAGGATGCGTCCTCCCACCTGGACGCTTCAGGTGTGGAACCGTAGGATCAGCGGACTATGTTCGACAGCTGTGTGGATGTACCGTCGGTGGAGTGTTCTTTAAACACCCGGGCCGCCGCATCAGGACGCTCATGTGAGACGGCGGGGACGCCGGGGGGCGTAGTCTTCCACAGTCCAACGGGACTTTGGTTTTTGAAGCTCAAAGGAAGTTGTATTTCTGTGGAATCTGGTGAAAAGTTGGAAAACACCATGTGAACGACACTCCACGTCGACGCCATGAACTGTGGACAGGAAGTCGTGCAGGCTGGTCCCGCCCACCCAGGACAATATGCAAAAAAACAGACTTCTTCCCTGACACTTTTAGATGACGTGAACATGGAGTAGGACGTCGGGCCCCTAACTTCTGTTTTTGGACTTTTGGGAAATATAAAAACATAGACCCCCCCTGTCCCCGTCCCCCCCTGGACTAAGGGCCACTGGAGGTCCACATGAATGCACCTGTGCAGTCCTGCAGCTGAGGAATCATCGAGGCTCAAAGTGTGGACACAGTCTGGGTCAGGGGTCGGTTCGCTTTGGAGTCAGTACCAATGGGGGCCGGCTGTGACCCGGTCTGACCTCGGTTTGACCTTGCAGTGACCTCTGACCTGTCCGGTCCTGGCTCTCCACCTGCTCTGCTGCCTGGGTTCGGGAACGCTCCGCCCTGGGGCACAGAACGAGCCAATCAGGATGAAGAAGAGCCGCAGTGTGCTGTCGGTAACTGGAGAAGAAGTAAGAACGCAAACTGTGGAGAGGTCCTCAGACTTCAGTCCTTAGTCCTCAGACTTCAGTCCTCAGACCTTAGTCCTCAGACTTCAGTCCTCAGACCTTAGTCCTCAGACTTCAGTCCTCAGTCCTCAGACTTTAGTCCTTAGTCCTCAGACTTCAGTCCTTAGACCTTAGTCCTCAGCCTTTAGTCCTCAGACTTCAGTCCTTAGTCCTCAGACTTCAGTCCTTAGTCCTTAGACTTTAGTCCTCAGACCTCAGACTTTAGTCCTCAGACTTCAGACCTCAGACTTCAGTCCTCAGACTTCAGTCCTTAGTCCTCAGACTTCAGTCATCAGACTTCAGTCTTTAGTGTGGTCAGCTTAGTCCTCTGTCCTCAGACTTCAGTCCTTAGTCATCAGACTTCAGTCTTTAGTCCTCAGACTTCAGTCCTCAGTCTTTATCATTTCGTTCTCTAACATCTATCACAGCGTGGGCTTCTTCGACCCTGCTGTGGTGGAGTTGGTGTTTGTCTGTGGTCAGGGTCAGGGTTCTGGTTCTGGTTCTGGTTCAGTGAGACAATGGAGTTGGAAACTGTAACAGGAAGAGCTAAAGTGAGACAATGAAGTTGGAAACTGTAACAGGAAGAGCTAAGAACGTGTGTGTGTGTGTCCTGACATATAAACCATGTGACACTCACACATGCTTTTGTCCTCAGCGAACACACTCCCAGTCAGTGGGGACAGTTTGTCTCCCGTCGTCTCTGTGAAACCAGACGGTTTCATTTAGACGTCTCCGCTGAAGGACATCACACCCTGCATTATTCAGGTCCGCTCTGATATTGATTTTGCGGAGCGGCTGCCCATACATTAGTGTGTATTCAACGTCGTCCAGACCTACATCTGGGTCTGGACCACATCAAACGCAGCATGGAGGCAACGCAGCGCTGTTGCCTAGCAACTGCTGCCATTCCCCCAGTGTTTTGCTACGCTGCTGCAGTGCAGATCAGCCTTCAAGAGCCGAGTCTGTGGAGGCCGATCCCAGACACACACAAATGAGCGTGCCGCCAAACAAACACACACACACACACACACAGGAACAACAGCGTGACAACTCCAGGATGTTTGGATTCAAATCAAATTCAAAGATTTGGTCTTGTTTTATCATCTGCTCTTCTCTCCGTGTCCGTCTTTTTCACCTCACCTGCCCTCTCCCCCCTGACTCCCCCCGCCTCCCCCGACTCCCAGGGTAATGACACAGATATCACAGGTGCCGCGGAGAAGGCGGAGTCATCGGGCTTCAGCCGATCCTACACATCTGGGGCCACTCTGGGGGCAGAGCTGCGCAGGGGGCGGAGCAGACGACTGTCATCCAGTCTACAGGTGATGGATGGCAGCATGTGTGCACTGTGGGGGGGGGCGGCGGGGGGTTCACACAGGCTCGTTTTTAAGAAAGAAACTGTCGTCGTTGTCACTGTTTACAAAGGGAAATGCCTCAGTGCCTCCACCTGTCTGTACAACGCAGTACTGTTCCTGTCCACGTGTTTGAACATCGTCGTGTTTCAAATCTGTCAGAACTAACGAGTGAAATGTTCAGGTTAGAGTCTGAACCAAACAAGTTAAGAAGCTTTAAGAAAAGAAAACGATGTGTGCCCTAAAATAGTTTTGGGGAAAAACGGCTGTATATTAAAGTGAAAGTCACCAGATGGCAGCATTGCAACACATGTAATTAATCTCGTACTCATACATCGATTTGTACAGATAAATCAATAAGGTCTATATCGGCATCGGATGATATCAGAATCGGAAGTTAAATGTTCGGACTTTATCAGGATATCGGACATCAAATAAATCTTAATAAAATACCTTCATTATTTTGAAACTCAAACCAGTGGTTTAAAAAAAAAAAATTAAATTTTAAATTTCCACCTAGCCTAAGACTGAGTTCCGTTTTGCAGTTATTTTCTTTTTCTGCCTTTTTGACCTTTGACCTCGCAGGTGCCCTGCTGGCTCCGCCCAAGAGATCGCACTCGTTCCCCTGAGGTTCTCAGCAACGTGTCACGCCCCACAACTCTTCCGCTTCAAATCCCCCCCCGTATCTCCATCACAAACGCAGACGCTGACAGGTTCACACACACACACACTCTCTCTCTCTCTCTCTCTCACCCTGTGGGTGAGTCACTTCTGTCCTTCTACTGTTGCAGTTATGAAGCAGAGAACGGCGTGTCACCGGGTCACAGCCCACTGGGGTCACAGAGCCCAGGCCTCACCCTGAACACCTCCTTCCCCCTGGGTCAGAGGAGGGAGTCCTTCCTCTACCGCTCCGACTCCGACTACGACATGTCGCCAAAAACTGTCTCCAGGAACTCCTCTCTGGCCAGTGAGGGGTGAGGAGGGAAATCTGAGAGCAGTTTTCTTTGTGACATTTTTGTTTTCATGTTTTACAACAAAGTCTCTCTCCTTGTTCCAGACACACGGGTGAGGACTTCATCGTCACACCTTTTGCTCAGGTGAGTTGAATTATTTTCAACATCATCATCAGAAATGTTTAGGACGGAGACGTTCTGATAATCCCTGTCCATTCAGGTACTGGCCAGTCTACGGTCGGTGCGGAGCAACTTCACCATCCTGGCTAATGTGTCCACAACAGTCAAGTAAGTGTCATGTGCTGTATATTGGGGAGGGGGGCGGGGGGGTTTGTGAATGTGGGTTTAAGACTTTAAACATTATTAAGTCTGAGTTGAAATGATTTTTTTTGTTTTTTTAAATCCATATAATTGAGTCTAAACTGAAGGTAGAAAATGGCCGACCATAAAACTTCACTTTGTACAGAAGGAAAATTAATTTTAAACAAAAAACACAAACAGTGTTGACTGTAAGTCTCCCCCTGCTGGAGGGCAGTTCTATTTCAAGAGTTTTCAACAGTTTTCACCAGGGTCACATTTCAACAGTTCTGAGAATCGAACGATATTTGATCAAATCAAACACACAAAAAGTGTAAAAATAAAAAAAAATCACCTTCAAATCCTCAGGGTTGTTGCAGGAGCTGCAGCCAATCACAGCAGTCGTTGGGCAGGGGCGGGGTTACAGCTCAGACAGTTAGCCAGTTGACTGTATAATGTAGACCCAGACAACCAATCACAGAATCAGTCCTGGGAGAAGAAACAAATGCAACAAAAAAAAAACTGTTAAAGCTGTGGCGCCCCCTGCTGTAAGGAAAGAGCACAACCCACGACGAACCAATCAGAGTGTGACCCAAGGTCAACAAACTCTACAACCAAAGTGATTTTACTGTCTGAGATGTTTGTCGTTGTTTTTGTACCGTTGGCGTTACATTATACAACCCCCTGTTCCCAGGAGGTCTCCACTGGGACGTTATAACAATTCCGACTGATATTACATTATACAAACCCCTGTTCCCAGGAGGTCTCCACTGGGGGGGGTCTGCATCAGTCCCAGGGCGTCACTCTCAGACCAGCAATACCAACAACTCGCCCTGGACACTCTGGAGGAACTGGACTGGTGTCTGGACCAGCTGGAGACCATCCAGACTCACCGCTCTGTCAGTGAAATGGCCTCCAACAAAGTACGTGAGCATGGTCCAGGGGTCATCCTGGGGTCATCCAGGGGTCATCCTGGGGTCATCCTGGGTTCTGCTGGTTCAGTTCTAAGCACTGCTGTGACACAACATAAAACAAAAAGATATTTCACATTTGTTTCAGTGTTTACCTCTCAGCTGACGGACACGTTCTACAAACTTCAGAATATTTACACTGATGCACTCAGCACTATATATATATATATATTTACCCAGAAAACCAAAGGGAGTCGAACCTGTGACCGACACTGTGTGAAGTACCTGTTGGTTTCTGTTTATCTGTTTATCTGTCTCTGCTTGTTGTCCCGCTCCAAAATTTGTCCTGAACGTTTTTCTGAAACATGAAAGAACAGCCTGACTCTGTCTCTGCTTGTTGTCCCGCTCCAAACCCAGTTCAAGAGGATGCTGAACAGAGAGCTGTCCCACCTGTCAGAGATGAGCCGCTCCGGGAACCAGGTGTCGGAGTACATCTCCAGCACCTTCCTGGGTGAGTCTCCGTCTCCGTCTCTCCTCAGACACCTGTCCTCTGAGTTTCCACCAAATTAAATCGATAAATTCTTGTTTGTTTATGAACATGTGCTGTTTTTTTTTGTTTTTTTCTGCAGACAAGCAGAACGAGGAGGAAATCCCGTCACCGACCCTGAAAGACAAACCGATGAGTCACATCAGCGGGGTGAGGAAACTGTCTCACAGCTCCAGCCTCTCCAGCTCCTCCATGCCTCGCTTTGGCGTCAACACAGACCAGGAGGACGAGCTCGCCAAGGTCTGGTCGTCTGTCCGTCTTTTCTGCCTCGCAAACAAAATGGTCTGGAAAAAAAAAACAAAACAAAAAAACAAACAAAAAAACCAAACCAATCTGATCTGACTTTGACAGGAACAGGTTAATAAATCTACCAGCAGATTTTAACTCATCTAAAAAGTGAAATAGAGTTCATTTAAATTGTTTTTCAGGTCACGAAAAAAACAAAACAACGTTTCGATTAGCATTACTGCCCCCTACTGGGTGTACTACCCACTTAGAAATACCTGCATTTCAGCCACTTGTAAAATTAAATGAAGGGAAAATACAGATAAAAAGACTAGAACTGTTTTTTGTTTTTTCTGTTTTTTAAAAACAGCGTCCTCAGGTTCTTGTCCTCAGGTTCTTGTCTTCAGGTTCTTGTCCCCAGGTTCTTGTCCTCAGGTTCTTGTCCTCAGGTTCTTGTCTTCAGGTTCTTGTCCTCAGGTTCTTGTCCTCAGGTGAACTCTGGAATGGAATGAACTGTGTTCTGTTCTGTTCTCCCGTCTGACTGTGAATGAACTGCCTGATCCGTCCTCTCTCACTGACTGACTCAGTCTCTCGCTCGTCTCTTCCGTCTGAGCAGGAGCTGGAGGATCTGAACAAGTGGAGCTTCAACATCTTCAGAGTCGCAGAGTTCTCCAACAACCGGCCCCTCAGCTGCATCATGTACGCCATCTTCCAGGTAATCAACTCTGTCTGTGTCTGTGTCTGTGTCTGTGAGTGTGTGTGTGTGTGTGTGTGGAGTGTTACTTACCCTCCTCTCCTCCTCCTCCTCCTCCTGCTCCTCCCACACAATTTAAAAATAGTCAGACGTTTCGAATCCCAGTCGACACTTTTGTCTCCTACGTGATGACCTTGGAGGACCATTACCATGGAAACGTAGCCTATCACAACAGCCTCCATGCTGCAGATGTCACCCAGTCCACACACGTCCTCCTCTCCACACCTGCTCTGGATGTGGGTGACTCTCCAAGAACACACACACACACACAATTTAAAAATAGTCTTAAGGACAAACAGGCCATACATATATATATGTGTTTATATATATTTACACATATAAACATACATATAAATATACATTCACACAGTGTCTGTGAAGTAAAGACTGTTCGACAGGAAGTTGTCTTTGTTTGTCTGTTTCTGGCGGCTGTCCCCTCGGATGACCTTTGACCTCTTTCTAGGCTAAATGTACGCAGCATAGCTAACAGTAAATTAGCCTGAAGTTACTTTGTATGAGGTCACAGCAGAGCATCTTCTGCCCTGACTTCACCCGTGTCTCTGACTCACCCTCCGTATTTCTGATGGTATGTCAAGACAATTTGAGAGTCCTCCATGTTTGTTTCATCCGTCTCAGGCCGTCTTCACTGACCTGGAGATCCTCGCCGCCCTGTTTGCCGCAGCCATCCATGACGTGGACCACCCCGGCGTCTCCAACCAGTTCCTCATCAACACCAGTGAGTACAGCTGGACATCAGCAGCAGGACGCGTCCACCGGACGTCTGGTCTCCCACACACCTCCTTCTGGTTTCTCCCTTCTGTCCTCCTCAGACTCGGAGCTGGCGCTCATGTACAACGACGAGTCGGTTCTGGAGAACCATCACCTGGCGGTGGGCTTCAAACTCCTCCACCAGGAAAACTGTGACATTTTCCAGAACCTCACCAAAAGACAGCGGCAGAGTCTCCGCAAGCTCGTCATCGACATGGTGAGTGTGGGAGACGGGGGACGTCGACGAACCGGTCTGTTGAGCTACGCCTGGTTTCTCTAGAACTTTCCGTCCTCTCTGTGCAGGTCTTGGCCACGGACATGTCCAAACACATGACTCTGCTGGGCGATCTGAAGACCATGGTGGAGACGAAGAAGGTGACGAGCTCCGGAGTGCTGCTGCTGGACCACTACACCGAGAGGATACAGGTACAGTGTACCGGTCTGAGAACCACGGTTTGAGCATCAGTGAGAAACACAAACAAATCTGTTTGATTTTTGTTCCCATTTCTGGGACAAGAAACATGAATGAAACCTGTGCAGTGGACACAGATGTTCCTGCGCTCCTTCGATGTCACTACAGAGAAGTGATTATTTCAGCTCTGAGGGTCTCTACTGCCACCATCTGGGGGGCCACATCACTGTTCAATATATATAAAAAAGGGAATAAATTGGTTTAATATGAATATTCTTCAATTTTACAGTATAAAATAACAACATATATAATTTTATTTATTGAAAAATAAAATAAAAAAACCCCTGAAGGTAGAAATTGAATTATTATTCTATCTATACATGGGCAGGATCTGGAGGGGTCACGGGCCAGAAATGGCCCCCAGGCCGGGAGTTTGAAGACCTGCAACTCTAAAAAAAAAATAATAAATCTATTTCTAAATTTTTTTTATAATAATTTTGAAATTAAATGGAAAAAATAATAAAAAAGATGGAAGGTTGTCCTGCACTTCCTAACCGAGCCACCAGGTGACCAGCTAAAACAAGCCGCGGTAATGCTAACCGGTTTAACTGTGAATCTGTGTGTGTACCTGTGTAGGTGTTGAGAAACATGGTTCACTGCGCCGACCTGAGCAACCCCACCAAGACGCTGCCGTTGTACCGACAGTGGACGGAGAGAATCATGGAGGAGTTCTTCCGACAGGGCGACAAAGAGCGGGAAAGAGGAATGGAGATCAGCGCCATGTGCGACAAACACACGGCCTCGGTGGAGAAGAGCCAGGTGAACTTTGGTTCCGTTCCCTCATCGTCGCTAATCCGGTTAATCCAGACGACAAACGGTTTAAAACTGTTTGACCAGAGCAGAGAGTTACTGACGGACTGAGACCGTGTGTCAACACCGACGGCTGCCGGTGTTGACGCTGCGTCAGCCTCTGAGAACCGCGATGATGACGTAGAATGTGGAAAAAAATATGTATGAAATATTATGGTGCCTCAAATATCGCGAGGTTTACGTTCCAAGACCAATTCGAGACGCGATAGTTGTTATATTATTTACGTGTATATTAACCCTTTACGAGTCATCGTAGGGCGTGAGGTATGGAAAAAAAAACTTCTCAAAATCTCGTTTACCTACGTACTATATATTTCTTGCAGCACACTATATAATGTATGTATAAATATATATAAATATATTGCGGATTTTTCTCTCCTGATTTGAAACATTAAATACCCATGATGCACTGAGACAGTGAAGGACGACTGTATTCCTTTTACTGACTTTGATGGTGTTTCCAGGTGGGTTTCATCGACTACATCGTCCACCCGCTGTGGGAGACGTGGGCCGACCTGGTTCACCCCGACGCCCAGGAGCTCCTGGACACACTGGAGGAGAACAGGGACTGGTACCTGAACACCATGCCCCAGTCTCCCTCTCCTCCCCCCGACAGACACCTTCAGCACGATCGCTTCCAGTTCGAGATCACGCTGGAGGACCTGGAACACAACAACCACGACGCCGTGTACGACATGGACAAAACGCAGGGTGAGGAGGCGGGGCAGAACGGGGAGGAGCAGAACCACGTAGAAAAGGAAGAGGGTGAGGAAGAGGACGAGGAAGAGGAAGAGGATGAGAAGAACCACAAGAGCAAACACAACGGAGTCCAGGAAGAGGAGGAGGAGGAGGAGGAAGAGCCTCCAGAAGGAGGGACGGAAGAAAAGGTTGATGACGAGGTGGAAGAGGAGGAGGAGGAGGGTGAGGGTGAGGAAAATGGAGGTGAGGAAGAACATGAGCCGACACCTGAGGAGGAAACAGAGGACGTAGTGGAGGACGGTGAAAATAAAGAAGAGGAGGAGGACGATGGAGGAGAAGAAGACGGTGATGAAGAAAAGGAGGACGAGGTTGAAGAAGAAAAAAATGTAGAAGGGGAAGAAGATGATGAGGAACCTGCTGAGGAGGAAGGTGAAGAAGAAGGAACGCAGGATGAAGACGTTGTGGAGAATTTGGAAGAAGAGGAGGAAGAAAATGGTGAGCAAGTAGGAGAGGAAACCCTGGAAGAGGAGAAATGTGAGGAGGAGAAATGTGAGGAGGGAGAAGACGAAGAGGAGGAGAAATGTGAGGAGGGAGAAGACGAAGAGGAGGAGGTAGAAGAAGAGGTAAATGTTGAGGATGAAGTCGGGGAGGAAACCTAGATGAACATCAACCAAACTGAAGATGCTGAAGATCACGAGGAGCGTGAGGAAACCCAGAGTTATGGATGTCTCCTGAGATCAGGTCTTTGATGAACCTCAGACTGACAGCAGAACAACAGACATGAAAACAAAAGGCCCACAGACCGGACTCTTCACGGCCGAGTGTCTGGACGTCCATCACTGCCACGTGGGATGAAGTGGATCTGGATCTGGATCTGGATCTG